AATACACTAAATAATACAGTTGACAGTAGTATCGGATATGAAAATTCATGAAAGGATTTGTGAGATCCTGGTTTTGCATTACAAGTACAACCAACAACAGCACAAGTTAGCATTATAAATTTTGGTTATAAGTTTACTGTTCAATATTTTATAACCATTAAATTAAAAAAATGAAGTACGTATATTTTTTTCCGTTTTATACGATTAACATTTAACAAAAATACGAACAAATTATTATTAATTAACGCAATAATTAACACATTAATTAATGGCAATAATTCAAGATAGATGGTAATTTAAATTGTCAAAATGTCGGAAACGCAAGTTAAAAGACATTTTTGGCATTTCTCAATGTCGTATTTAGCATTTTTCTCTTAACATGGAAAATTAAAAAAATAACAAAATTGACATTTATAAGTTTTTAAGCAATTTCTTTTCCAATTCCCATTTATTTATAGAAAAAGTTACCATTAAACTTTTATTTCTCTAAAAAAAAAAAACAAGTGACGCAAAAAAAAAAAATTTTTTTTACAACAATTCATTGAAAGTTTAATTATGTGAAACTTTTCTTTTTCTTTTGTTCTACTCTTTTATAAAAATAGCGCGCAATGAAATAAAAAAATTTTCTTTTTTAACATAGAGTTAAACTTAGACATAAAATTAAGTTAGAAATAAATCAAAAATGATCAAAGCAACTAACAGTCCAGTCTGGGACTATTTTGATATTAATAAAAATAATCAACATAAACAACTTTACCAACAACAATAATCAAATTAACAACACAATTTTGCATAATTTGTGGGATATTAATAAAAATAATCAACATAAACAACTTTACCAACAACAATAATCAAATAAACAACACAATTTTGCATAATTTGTGGGGCTTTTTATTTATTCTAAATAATAAGTCGTTTTAAATAATAAGTAAATTTAGTTCAAGTTAATTTCAATATTTACAGTTGCAATATAATAAAAAAATGATGTTTAATGTTGAACTTTTTATTTAGATATTTATTTTTTACCTACATCTGTTATAAAAAGACTTTATAACCCCCGTCATTAAAATGAATTGTTTTAAATATATTTCAACATGATTATTCAAACTAAATTTTTTCGTTTGACTTTCCAAACTTTGTGCAAAGCAAATTCAGACAAAATATTGTCTAACCAAATAAAAATGCTGTAACTAATTTTATATGTATAATTAATATGAAACAATTCTTTATCAGAATCTTGATTGAGATAATAAATATTCATAATTTATTAACATTAAATATAGCGCAATAACATTTTATAGCAACAATTCAGCATAAAGTATTTAAGGTTTTAATAGCTTTTTAAATGTTAAAAGTAGAAAATAAATAACTGAACAAATAATTAAAAAATTTATAAATAAAAAAATTTTCCAGAGTTTCATTTGTCAAAAGTCTACCGTTACTTCAAATACTAAAACTTTTATGAATTAAACGCGCTTCGAAGGAATCGCTGAAGTCTGTAGATTGCAACATATAATTTAAAGACTCCAAGTTATTGAATAAAATGGAGAAGGCGAGCTTTGGCTGAAACAACAAGATTAGTTTTTCTTGGTATGTATTTATTATTTATTTCTTATCAAAAAAATTTGGTTCAAACCATTTTTTAACATTATCTTTAATATGAACACAACATGTGTTGGGAGTTTGGTATCCCTTTAAGCCATATTTAAAGGATGAGGAGGAGAAATGGAATTGGTCAGTCACAAGCTCTAACTTGGTTCAATTTTATAATTTATTAAAAGTTAAAATTTTAAATAATGCAGTTAAAATGCCTTATAGAAACAATTCATACAACTCTTGTTTTTAATAACTTATTGCTAAAGTACATACCAAATCAGTCCCTTTTTAAGTTTGACCTTATAGTAATATTTGGCTGCATGTGACCACAATTTTAATGCATTTACATCATATCACGTTGACAGTTGTGGTTAGACAATATTTTGAATAGCTTAATGAAAACCGTCAAATATTTTTTTGCAGCTATAAAAATTAAAGTAGCTGGTTGATTACCTCTTCATAATAATAAAATAATGTTTATTAAAAAAAGTAAGACTTAAAAATGCCTTAAATGGTCTAAATGAAACTAAAGATGAATTTATTAAAAAGAACAAAAAAGTTTCAGAAATATTATTTTGCATAGGATATGCTTATATAACCTTGCAACAGAAATGTTTTTCCCCAGAAATGTTTTTCTTTTAATCATGAGAAAACTCTTCCTCATTCGAAAAGTGTAAAAAAAATTTTTTTGTGTTTTTGGTATACTCAAATTTCTATTATGCAGATACTGATGTCAAATGAATTCTCATCCTGACCCCAATAGCCTTTTCCCTTGAATTATGACAAGGAGTGGCAAAAATCCCAGACATTTTTAATCCCGGGATTTAGGGATTGAGAAACTTGTTTCCAGGAGATCCCTGGATTGAATAGAAAAAAATGCAATAGAAGCACTAACGTTTTAAGTACTCATCAAACACTTTAAAATGACTATTTTAATAAAAGTATAAATAAAATACTTCATTCTTTAATGAACCTAAGTAATTTAACCCTTTACAGGTCAGTGCTAGAATAAATAGTAGAAAAAATTTTATTTTTATTTTAAAAGATACACTTTGTGTATAGAGTAATAATCAATAGTTTTTTTTATGCTGAGATAAGCACTTTTTGAGATATTTTTTGTTGCTATATGGCAACTTTGACCGGTTAGGGTATAAAATTAAAATATTATTTTTAGTTAAACAACAATAATTAGCCAATACAAAATATAAATCATCACTAGTTTACTTTAAAATTAGTTTCCAAACAAGTTCCTACTTTCTATGAAACTTATAAAAACAATTTCTTTCATTGCTTAAATATAAAAAAACTCTGCATTTTATACAAGACATACGAACGGTTTTCTTGCACAATCGACATTTGTTTTTGTTGGTTTGAGGATTAGGCCAGTGTCCAAATTCATCATATCGTATATCATTTTGGGGTGTTGGTACTTGAACTTTGCAACCTCATGTTTCAATTAAATCTGAATAAGTTAATAATTTTTTTATCGGTCGGCCGATAGGTCTGTCAACTCGTTTACTTTTCATTATTAAAGCGTTAGCAATTTGACTGCTAAATTGAAGGAAATTAAGTTAACTACGCTGAGATATATTTAACTGGTTAGCGTGTCTTCAATACAGCAACCAAGCATTTATCTTACATATATCCATGTAATGAACAAGTACACGTAAGTACCATCTTTTTGTTTTCATGGGTATTCGATATAAGCTAATAAGCATATCAGTCAAGTCAACACTACTCATTCCAGAATTGTACTCTTTTACAACTTCTGGGCAAGGCACTTGAATATATTTCCTATTTTTTTGATCCCATCGTTTGACACTACCAGATGTATTAGCTGAGCAATATGTTGAAGTCATATGAACACATTTATTATCAAGCCATCGAAGCAGCAAAAGACCAGAGTTTCCTTTTTATTTTATAGGAAAAGGATTCCTGACCTTGTGTTTTTAAATCTTTTTCGGAAAGACAATTAATTCTGTTATTTCTTTTGTCCAGAACTAGGAATAATAATCAAAAGATGTAAGTTCAGTAAAATCATAGGGGGCTAATGCGAAATGTTCTCCCATAAATATATATCAAATATATATATATATATATATATATATATATATATATATATATATATATATATATATATATATATATATATATATATATATATATATATATATATATATATTATATATGTATATATATATATGTATATATATATATATATATATTATATATGTATATTATATATATACATATATTTATATATATTATACATACATATATTTATATATATTATGCATACATTTTATTGTCGTCGAAATGTCAGAGCAATTATATTAATGCGGAAGTACATTAAATTTTATTGTTTTTTAAAAAAACCGCAATAATAATGACCTGGAAAGTTTTTTTTAATTAGTGGTATTTTTGTTTTTGTTTTATTAAAAAACATTTTTAAAACATCCGTAAGTGTTGCTACATCGTCTATCTTATAGCCTGCTGCTACAAGAGAGTGTTGCTACATCGACTATCTTATAGCCTGACTCGCAACAGAGTGCTGCTACATCAACTGACAAATAGCCTGACTCGCAAGGGAGTGCTGCTACATCGACTGACAAATAGCCTGACTTGCAAGGGAGTGCTGCTACATCGACTGAGGGTTTGGTTTGGGCAGGCGGTCTATCATTAAAAAAAAAAAAATTTAAGAAGTTTTTTAACATTTTCTGGTCAGGCTTATTAACGCGCTCTTTAAAACAACAGTTTATGGGAAAAACTTTGTGACTACCATGCAAAACTATATATATATATATATATATATATATATATATATATATATATATATATATATATATATATATATATATATATATATATATATATATATATATATACTTATATATATATTTATATATATGTATTTATATCTATATAATATTAAACTAAAAGTTCTGACACCACTTGATGGCCTAAAATTGATACCTATTTCATTCAAAAAATGTAGCAACTATCTAGGCAATAGTTCTCATAAAAAATGCCATTAAACTGCAATCTTTGTTTACTAATTGCGTTAGCATAGTCAAAATACCATATTAAATCAAGAACATCTGGGCTAGATAAAAAATTTGTTGCCATACGGCAACCCTGACCTGTAAAGGGTTAAATTATAAAACAATGAACTTAAATTGATAAGACAGTATAAATAAAGATAATAACTAAAAATAATTTAAACATGCATGATTATGCATGATTTGTATTTATTTTTAAAAGTAATTTAAAATTTTTAAAATTGAATATTTTTTTAAGAAGTATTAACTTGATTTAACTTTTAATAATAAGTTTGTTTAAGGTGATAACTATTATTATCTTGAAATAAGAAGTAATAGTTTTAACTTTACATTGCTATCATTTAGAGCATTTTCGAGTGGTTTCAAGCATACTTCCATTCAGGAAAGGTAAATTTAATGTAATAATCATTAAATATAATGATGATGATGATTTTATACATGATCTATGTAAAATATGATTACATGTTCTATATGATTACATTGATTGATGATTTTGTAATCATAATGATGACATTATGTGTATACACATTTTCTTATTAAAATAAATCTGTGTTTATTCTGAACACCTGCTAGTTTTTCTTGTTTTTTTTTATCTCCTAAGATAAAAACTTACATTCAAGAAAGGTAAATTTAATGTAATAATAATTGTTACGATGATTATTAAAATGATGTCGGTTAAAAAGATTATGAGCATGAGGTTATATTTAATAATTGGTGATCATGAGGATGATCATGATGAAGGCAACTATAATGATGATCATAGTAATAACAATAATAATGATAATTTTTTTACATTTAGATTAATCAGAGATTGCTAGAGCACTAAAATATTTATGTTTCAAAATGATCTAAATAAAATTTACTACTAATAAAAGTGATTGCAAATGTTGATTTGATACATTTATTTTTTGATCTGTGATCATTCTAATAATATTTAAAAAAAAAAAGCGCTATCACGTTGAAACAATTATACTTTTAATAATATAAAAAAGATAAATTAATATAATATAATGTTACAAAGATAAATTTAAAATTCTTACCAAAACTATTTGTATTTTTCTATTAAATTATCCTCGCTATGTGTTGCTTATTATTTTTTATAATTAAGATTATGATGATGATTTTTATATTTAGATTATTCAGAAAAGGGTACAAAACTGAAAAATTATGTTTTAAGTTGAGCAAATAAATAAAAATTTGCTCAGGCCAGGGCTAGAGTTTATTTATAAAAAGTACGATTTTTAGCCAGGGCTTGGGTCACCTACTTGTTAGCCATTTTTAAAAAGGAAGTATATTAGACATTTCAGAGATGCTATTGATTATATATTTGGGATGAACCTTTTATTATTAATAGACAATGAAATGATTATGAAAAAAAGTGTATAATACCAAATTATCATCTGAAATTATTTATTTATCAACTTATGCTTCTGAGAATCTAATTGTTTAACAATCCTAGAAAAGTCTATTTTATTTAAATGGTCTCCTTTAATATTAGTAGTATCAGTTATAACAGTAATATCTTTTATTAGTATTTAATATTACACATAGCCTTATATATCTCATAATATTTAATATTACACATAAAGCGTAGTATTTAATTGTACACACAATAGTGTGTAGTGTTATATTATAACATGATTATATACTAGTAATAATTACGCATGAAACTGTAGCCTTTAGTATAATAGATAAACACCTGCATGTATTGCAGGTGTTTATCTTTATCTTTATACCTTTAGTATAATAGATAAACTGCTGCATGTATTTTTATTTTATTTTATAATAGATAAACACCTTAGCTGGTGTACTTCACCAGCTAAGGTGAATTAAACCAGGTGATTTAAATCACCAGGTGATTTAAATCACCTGTAACTGCATGTACTTTTATTATGATCTCTCCTTTTTTTGTTTTATACAACTACTAACTTTGATTTTGATTTGAAAACTTTGATTTTTAATCCTTCTGTGAACAAGACCATTGTTGAACTGTCCAATCTTTATGCATTTTTACCTATCTCAATCTTTTAACATTATTTAGTTTGTATAGTAAGGATTTTTGGCATCACTTTATCTTCTTGTCTCTTATAAACTGTTTTTAAAGAGTTTTCTAGAATTGTAATTTGCACATTTCACAAATAGTCTTTGATAATTCCTTTACACGTTATCTCTTTAATAATACTGAACTTAATAGTAGTGCGCTTTCGAGCTTGTTTGACATGATACTCTTGGCAACCATTGCGTCCGAGGTGGTGACGAGAAAGAGTCTCACCTTTGCTTTATAAGAAAACGTGAGCAAACTTGAAACTTATATCGTACGTACCTAGACTTTATGTTATGTAATGTTAAAACATGCTTAAACATATATCAAGTTCTACACTTTGATTTTCACTCAAAAACTGCATTTCGTCAACCTCAGCTTCGTTTCTAATTTTTTGCATTTATATCCGTTAAAAACAAATTTTTCATAAATTAGATTGTTTCAGTCACAAAACAAGGTTACAACATTTTTTTTACTCATTTTTTATTTTTTTTATACTACATTTTTTTGGTACATTTTAAAACCATTACATTAAGTACAGGGTTAAAACCCTTAAAAGTTTTTCATGTTTATTTTATAAGTGAAGAACAACTTGATAGTATTCTCTGTCCACGAGAGGATATATATAGCTTATCACAAAAATTGCTAGTTTTTCATTCATTTTTTAAGTAACTGGGCAATCGAGACTTTTTTTTTAAGTTGGTTTTTGTAAATAGTTTATAAAACCACATTTTTGGTGAAAAATTTAAATCAAAAACATTTTTCTCACGAAAGTTAGCCTTTTCTGTAGAGGACCCACCTTAAGCTTAAAAAAATTTAAACACCTTAAGCTTAAAAAAATTTAATACCGTAGCGTGGGGTAATTGAGCACTTCATGGGGTAATCGCGCACCCGTTAACATATTCATTTTAAAAGACAAATAAAACTCAATAACAAATAACTCCAATAATTAACTATTATAACTCAATGCTTTTGTTATTAATGCTTTTGCTGTTACTTAATTACTACATAATTCATATTTCAAACTCTCTCTTTAACTTAAAACTACATAATTCATATTTCAAACTCTCTCTTTCCTCTTGCTCTTAATGTGTCCTTTATAAATTGTTTTTAAAGAGTTTACAAGAATTGTAAATTTTATGTTTCATGAATAATCTTTTGATAATTCCTTCGAGCTGTACTTTGTACTTTTGCACTCTTGGTGATTCCTTCCTGCTCTTCACTTGGTTATTATTTTTTGCATTAACGTGCATAAATATTATTGTATAAATGTTACAATATCCAAAATAAACTGTTTCCATTACCTTTCTATATAAAAATACTATAAAACACAACAATATTTACTTAACTTAAAAAGAATTTAAGTTAAGTAAATATTACAGCAAAATATCTTTAATTATAATATCTTTAATAATACAGAAAAATATACCCAAATATTACAGCAAAACATACCAAAAGTATACATTATTGTAATGATGATGAACCTATACTGCTATGTTTACAAATGTAAATTTTTTACAAGTGTGAATTTTTTTATAATAAAAATGTCATAATAAATGCTTAACAATAAAATTGTTACACTAGTTTTAAGTGAAAGAAACTTCAATTTTCAAAAAAATTTAGAGTTAAAAAATTAAACAAGTTATGAAAATTACGTAGAGTTAAAAAAAAAGTAAATAAAACCAATCTTTTTACCAGTAATTTATGTTTTATGCAGTTTTTCTAATTTATTTAGTTATTATATGGTTATCATTTTATTTATGTAATGTTTTTATTACTAATTTAAATAAGAGATAATTTAACGTCTAACTATTAAAGGTTTAACATCTAACTGTTAAAGGTTGAATGTGAGGTTCATTTAACTTTAAAAACATCTAATAATCATAATAAGCATTTTCTATAAATTAGGAACTGTATTTTCACAATACTTTATTAATTTATTGACAAGTCTTATCCTAAATAGCATGATATCTTACCTTCCCAAGACCTAGACAGAGGGGCTATTACAGTAATCAAGTCACAACTTTTAAATTCTTTTTAAATATTTTTACAACTCCTGGTTTTTAAAATTTACAACCCTCTAATTAAAATTACAACTCTAAAACACAAATCTTGATAAACAAGGCTATTGTGTGAATGAGCTAATTCAGATTGAAAATGCATGTAATTAAATGTGAATCAAGCTTGATATTTTTTGCTATTTATATCCAAATTAAATGTTTTCTAGAAGTATTAATTTTATTTTTTAAACTTAAATGATAAGTTTGTTTAAGGTAATAACTAAAATTATCTTGAAATAAGAACTTTTTTAGGAGTAATAATTTTAACTTTACATTACAATCCTATAGGTTATTCACCATAACTTTCAAGCTTTCAGAAACTTTCATAACTTTTCAACTTCCGATTAAGTAAATTTAATTTAATAATAAAAACTAGCTGTCATGACAATATGGGTCATGGTAAATCTGTTCCACATCCGACTACATCTAAATTTGTTTTTAATTTGGTCTTCTTACATCAATCAATGAACTTTAGTAAATAGCAGAAAATCAATCAATTTAAAACTCTTGGTGTTTAGTTAACAATAAATTTACTATACGCACTTTAACTCTACACATTTAATTTTAATGACAGTTATGTAATATTTCTTCCGGTGTTTCATTAAGGTTTTAACAAAAAGATTTATAAATGAATTTTTTTTTAACCCCTTATTAAAATTTATTTAAAATACAAAAGAGGACACCGAAAACGGGTTACAATTTCTAGTTATGTCAAATAAGTTAGCTCTATCGATTTGATTTTATTTTATAGAAACTCTTCTCTAAAGAATATATCTATACAAAGTAATAATTTCAAAGAGAAAAAAGTATAAAATTTGAGGAGAAACAAAAAATATTTTTCTTGAGGTAAAAAAAAAAATACTGATACTCTTTTTAAAAAATTAAATTAAAAAGTTTTCTTTACAAAGCTGTCAAAAGCTGTCAAAAACGGTACTATGATAACTACATTACACAACTGAATATATCTATACTTATTGGTTCTTTACTTTAATAAATCTTAGTTCATGGCAAAAAAAAATCGATATAAAATTCTTGACTTTTGATTAACGATTTACTTTAATATTGTTTACATAACTAAAGTATCTTTAAAAGAGATTACATTAGGGTAATATTTCAGTGTTTTTGACACTTTTTTTTCATTTTTTTCACATTTCTATCTAACTCGTCCCACAACTACACAATCAAGGTTAAATAAGGTGACTAAGCATGCCATTTCATATTTATTAGTTCTTTTTGTTTTTCTTTGGCTGTGATATAATTTTGGAAGTATTTAAATGTGTTAATGGGATAGTTATCCTGTTAAAAAACAAATCTGTGTTCTACTTTTCTTTTTCTGCACAAAAATGCATGATTTTTGTGAAAGTTATGGTTTTTTTTTTTTCATCAATAATGCCCTCAATTCGCACTAGGTCAGTAACTTTGTTTCTAGCTATGCATTAAGATCATGACTGACCACCAATACTTAACTATTGGGATCATGCATTGTTTTATTATTCTTACTCCAAATAACTAACGAAAATATATTATTGATGATTTTCTATGAAAATTTCAAACTTTGATTCATCTGTGAACAAGACTTAAGACCATTGTTAAATCATCCAATCTTTATAAATTTTTCAGTATCTCAATCTTTCAACATTATTTAGTTTGCATAGTAATCATTTTTTGGCAGCAACACATCCTTTCAAGCCGTAATTGTGAAGACATTGTTTAACGGTTAAAGCAGACGCTGTTGCTTCTCACATAGAATTCTTTTACTTTGAACACAGATAAATTTGTCCTTGTGATTCCATGTTGCTGTAGGCCTCCTCAAACAATGATGATTCTGATTAGAGCCAGTTTCTTGGAAACCATATATCAAATCTATTGTTAAGGTTGCGTCTATTTATTTTGCTCCCCACTTTCTTTTTCAGGATTCTTTTCCTTATCTCTATAAATCTCAACTCCATCTTTATATGGAATACTGTTGTCATATCTAGACCGAATCTTCAAATGATTTCCTTTCTCTTTTGGACAAGTTGCAAAAATATATTGTAAATGTTGCCCTGCTCTTGTAATTAACTAATGACCATTGTCACATTGTTGTAATGTTGCTTCTCCTTTTTTTTTCTATAAAAACTATGATGGTTTCTGCTCTAAAGAGCTAGCATGCCTTGTGCTATTTACTAAAATTCATTCTTGTGTTACTCATCATTCAATTAAGTCTCATCCTTTTACTGTGACTGTTCCTAAGTGCTCCAAAAATTCTTATTTGTCAAGTTTTTTTCTTTGAACATCAGTTCTTCAGAATTCGTTCTCTTCATCTTGTTTTCCTGATTCATATAATTTGCAATCTTTTAAGTTGCCTGTTAATCATTATATTATTTTATAAATTTTTTCCATTTTTTCCAACTTTCAGTTCTAATATTTGTTGCTTGAACCCTCTTTAGAAGTGTAGGTGTTTAGAAAATAAAAGTTAAGATATTAGATTTAGTAAACTGAATAACTGAGCTTAGCATCAGACAGGACCTTTTAATATTGACTTTTTGCAATAATAAAAAGTCATTTGTTCTAAAGAGAAATATTCTTGTAAAAAAGATGAAAAGTAATTGCATTTTATCATAGCAACTGTACAAGTAGCTAAAAAACATTTAATAGAATGAGGCTTGATTTAAAATTGACAAGAAGGAATAAAAATCTCCATCAGTGCTTGGATACAGTGGTTAGGTAAGAGGCGTATTCATACATACATAATATGGATAAATATGGATATAGACATATGTTTGCTCTTTATTTAAATGGTTGCATAAAATACCTTTATATGTTTGTATAAACTTGTGTAGTTTTTGATTAAAAAAAAATGATGATCAGATGGATGTTTGGTAGGACTCTAACAAGTCAAGAAAAAGAGCCATAATCTTAGAGATTAGGAAAAATGTTGTATCGAACAATGTTTGTCAGAGGAAGTGAAAGTGGTTTAGGTATCAGCATGTAAAATATTAGTTTTAGAATAATATGTTAGAGGTAGAAATCAGAAAATTTAGAGAGTGCATTACATATGTTATGAACAAGCTTTAGTTAAGGATCGATAATGCTTGAGATTTTTTGTATTAGAGTAATGATGATGATGATGATGATGATGATGATGATGATGATGATGATGATGATGATGATGATGATGATGATGATGATGATGATGATGATGATGATGATGATGATGATGATAGTGATGATGATAATGATGATGATGACATTGATGATGATATTGATAATGATATTGATGATGATGATGATGATGATGATGATGATGATGATGATGATGATGATGATAGTGATGATTATGATGATGATAATGATATTGATGATGATATTGATGATGATGGTGATGATGATGATGATGATGATGATGATGATGATGATGATTATTGTAATATTTGTAATAACTATGATGATGAAGTTTTCAAGTTGTCAATTCAGATGGTGCTGTTGTTATGTTCTTAGAACTATTAATAGCAAACTTCGAATAATACATTGAGGCGTAAAATAAACTAGAGATACCATTTTGAACAAATTTTAATATGATTTTTGAATTAAAAATAAAAAGTTTCATTAATTTGACTTTTTCGTGTTTTGTTTAATTTTCAAAGTTTTATTCTTCTATCATGTAGTCTACTTAGATATCATTTATAAAATGCTTAATATTTTTATTATTAAATTTTATTAATAATTTTATTATTAGTAAATTTTTAATATTTTTTAGTTAATAGTTAAAAGTTATAATTAAACTTAAATCAAAAGGTTATTAAAAGTAATAAATATAACTATCTTTTAATAATGTGTTTGTGGAAGGTAATAACTTTATCTTTATGTTACTATTATTTAATTTAGAATCTTCACCTAAGTTTGAAAGTCAGATTCCTACCATAAAAGGTAACATAATTGTTAGTAAAATAGAATGATAACTAAATTTAATCATAAATGAGAAGTTTATTTGAAAGTAATTAAACTTTACATAACCATCATATAGAGAGTTCACTATAATTTATTAGCATTATTCTTTTTTATTTAAATCTACAAGTATAAAATTTTTTAAAGGGCAAAACTATAAACAACACTAAAAATAAAAAATCAAGTTGAAATAGAAGCAGATTGTATTTATAGCAACATGTTTTGTTGCGCATTATCGTTACAACAAAAGCGCACAACAAAAGTACATAACGTAAGACATTTGTAAAAACACCTTGCATACTTGAAAGTGCACATTACACTTGCTTTATATGTTTGCAAAGTCAAACTACTTTGAAAACATGGAAACAACATAATATAGACAGATACAAACTATAAATATGTATAACCTTTTAAAATATATTAACACGTATAAAATAATAATAATAAATTACATATTTTAAGTACACTCGATTTATATTAATATACATTATGTGTTATTTGTCTTATAATAATATACATTATGAGAAACACTGCCAAGTCACACTCTTTTAAGTACGTTGCTTGGCTGGGTAAAGTTATTAATCTTACTATTTAACAAAGTTAATCTATATAGTAATACTAACAATAAATTAAAAATAACTTTTGTTCAATTATAACTTATTATTTATATACATATTAAAACATATAATATTAGAGCATGTATGAAATTCTTTTTTGATTATTTTTTTAGTTTCTTATTTATATGTTTGTTTGTATTTAGAATTATTATTTACTTTAGATTTTATCCATACTACAAAAATTAAGCGTGATAATTATTTCTATCAAAAAGAAATACAATACAAAAGAGGATTTGATGTAGAAGATTACTCTGAAAATCTAAAATCTACCATCTATGAACGACAAGTGTGGGGTATTATGATATATGATGGAAAAACTTCTGAGGAAACATTTTGCGATATTAATTTCATTGAAGATTTAATAAAATCTAAGAGAAAGTTATCGTGGTTAAGCATTGATAAAAGTAATTTGAACAATGAGGAAAAAAGCCTTCTTATGCTATGTTCAACTAATGTTTCTTCCGTCTACTTTTATCATCCAGTTAAAATTGAAGGATGGAATCCGTCAGATAAGATTGAAGCATTATCAATAGACACCGTACATTATTTAATAGGAAAAAATGATTTTAAAAATAGTTTTCTTTCGTGGATTTGTCTTTGT